AATGATGTGAAGTGATCTGCGACGTGTTGTATCATCCCTATGCACTCGCCTCCTTTGGTTTGCGTACGTGGCTCTTCATTAATTTATTAGTTTCATGTGCTTACTCTCGCACGCAGCGCCGGCAACAATCACGTCCGTCTAGCGGTGTAGAGACTCCGTCAAGGTCTCAACGGTCTGACCGTGGTACGCTCCCATCGTGACGACGATGATGTTCGGACAATTCGCGTACAACGTTCACGGGTCTCAAGTCTTCTTCAGTGCCCTGTAGAGTATGCGTTTCTACGAATATCCCCCCTCCTTTTTCTCATCGTGTATCCGATTGATTGCTTGTGGTCGTTCATATGCTTTCCATTCTGAACGTGCGTCTCGTAACGATAACTTTGCTTCCTACAACGATTCTATACAGTCGTTATCCTATCTATGTCGAATAACCTTGTGCATTCCCGTCTGTCGTATCTTCCGTAATACATGTCATCTATGCTACATGCCTGGTGTGATTCTGCGTCTCACTACTTCACCTCCCGGAACTACTCAGTGACATGTCATCCTGAACGTTTACCCGAGCTGACCGAACGGTACGGCTGCAGAAGGCATCGTATACTTTCGATACGGGCCGCTTTGGCACAGTTGTAGGTCCATGTGGACATTTGTCCAGAGGAGCTGCGCGCGTGCCGCGGCGCAGCCGGCTATCTCGTCATATCGGTGTTGTTGACGACTCGCTATTGTGTAGTCCCAAGTTGAGCCGAATTGTGCAACTCGACTGGCTCTGTTTAGGATGACAGGATCTGGGCAATAGAGTGCGTGATAAATGAGCTGAAGAGGCCGGGCTTACTACTTTGCGGTGCATGTCTCCATGAGCGCGAATCATATGTGCACTGTACAGCACCGGTGGGAGGATACACGTTGGATTCGGAAGCTTTCGTGGAGGGGGATGGTAATCTCCGATCAATCCGCATCCAGCTCGGCGGAATAGCTGTGGGGTATGGATTTACAGGTGTCTCTCTCATTTAATATCTACTGAGGGCCGCAGTGAATTCGAGAACACTCGACGCTGCGGTGTTGAGGCTGCAGACATCAACGACGTAGCTGCTCAGCGAGCAAGCACGCGTGCAGCTGCGGTCCAGTTCGACAATCTGCGAGAGGATGTTCGCAACTGCATCGTGGACGATACCCGCAGCGCTACCGCAGAACCTAACCTTGTCCGGGTCTGTCACTCTCTGTCACTACAGTTGAACAAGCCATCATCCTGCTGCTGCGGACGCGCGCAGCACTAAGAACAGGTGGTCCCACTCGGTCACAAGGCTGGGTGGTTGACTGCCCGAGAGAACCGACCTGCCGCTGAGGTGGAATAGGGACAGGTCGAGCGTCTAGTCTAGGTGAAGAACCACAAATGCGTCAGTGTCATTATGTCTATCCTTTGGCGGGAGATGAATATCCACATGGATACGCGTGCGCAACGATATCTCCACTGCATAAACCGCCGGTTTTTCGCGAAGCGAATCGGTGCGGCAGCGGGGGAAGTACTTGAATCATGTGCCACTGCTTTATGAAACCCAATGAACTTGGTGAGGCTGGTTTTAGACGCGGGAAACATGGATCCCTGATGGGACGTCAATACTGGATGGTGAGAGGCTGAGAGCCAAGAGCTGAAGAAAGGTGGTCGTCCCGTTCGGCGTCCCGTTCGCGTAGAGCCCCACTGTGTACGTCTAAATGAAGTAGTATGTACGCGTTGAGCTGTCATGAGCTATGTGTTGAGCTGGTAGATATGACGATGTTCACAGAGCCTGCCCACTCAGCCTCTCCACATGGGCGCCTACTACATCATGAGCCTCCTCCATGGACGGTGACGTTAGCAGCTAGAAACATCGCGCGTCCGATGTCACCCCAACTCGAAATAGACGGGGCGTCATAGGCTCATAACCAGTGGCTCTCGCCAGACTTTGGTTTCCCTTTCAGGACATACAAGTCAGAGTGATCTTCCAGTGACGTCGTACGTCCCTCCGTCCGCACCGAGTATGTATACCCCTTAACCGCCCTCAACACTCCCCTCGTTTTACTTCTCGCGCCATCCAACATGTCCTCCGCCATCGGATCCGTCAAAGAGGCGTTCACTTCCGCAACCGGCCACACTGCCAAGATCGCGGACCTTCAAAAGGCGACCTTGGATACTAGCAAGAAGTCCACAAAGGGCTTGACTACAGATTATGGCATATTCATCTCCGACACCGACAATTGGTGTGTATATTTCGCAGATAGATAGGTGACTTTGAACTCTCAACTTGACCCGTATTCTAGGCTTCGCGCCTCGGACGGCGCGCGTCCTGGGCCAGCTCTTCTGGAAGACCAGGTGTGTCAGGTTGCGCCCAGCATGTGGCTGAGACACTGACATGACTTCTGATAGATCGCTCGAGAAAAGATCATGCGATTTGACCATGAGCGCATTCCAGAGGTGAAAATCTACCGCTGGCAGACCGAGACCTCTGCTGCCTGCTGACCTTCTCTGGCACTAGCGTGTGGTTCACGCCCGTGGGGCCGGAGCGCACGGATACTTCAAGGTAATCACGGAAATTGATATCTCCGGATGTACGGTTCTGAATGCTTATCGCTCCCAGGTCTACGACGACAGAGCGTCCAAGTACACCTTTGCTCCTGTGTTGACGGATTCGTCCCGGATTACACCTACGTTCGTGCGTTTCAGTACGGTTCAGGGCTCCCGTGGGAGTGCAGTACGTACGTCTCCGCTCTTGCACGGAATATTGTAATCACCGCCATCTTCGCAAAGGATACGGTGCGCGACGTCCGTGGGTTCGCGGTCAAGTTCTACACCAACGAGGGGAACTGGGACATCGTCGGCAACAACATTCCCGTGTTCTTCATACAAGACGCAATTAAGTTTCCCGACATTGTGCACGCAGTCAAGCCCGAGCCTCACAATGAAGTCCCAACGGGACAAAGTGCTCACAACAACTTCTGGGACTTCGTCGGTCTTCAACCTGAATGTATGCGCTTTTTTCGCCATAACACTTGCGCAGCTGATGTTGCATGACGCAGCTGCTCATATGATAATGTGGGTCATGTCCGACCGCGCGATCCCTCGGTCCTACCGTACGATGCAGGGTTTCGGTGTGAACACCTGTGAGCTCCATGTTTCACAAGTTGAGTTCGCCTCGCTGATATTTCGGTCCAGTCACTTTGGTGAATGCTCAGGGCGAACGTTTCTTCGTGAAGTTTCACTGGATCCCCGAACTCGGCGTCCATAGTTTGGTGTGGGACGAGGCTCTTAAGATTGCCGGTCAGGATCCAGGTATATGGCTAAGTCAATCCAGCTAAGTCGAACATCATTGTCTCATGCCTTATCTCAGACTTCCACCGTAAAGATCTCGAAGAGGCTATCACTACTGGCGCATGCCCAAAGTGGTTCTTCGGCATACAGGTCATCGCAGAGGCACGGGAGAACGACTTCGACTTCGACATTTTGGACGCCACGAAAATATGGCCCGAGGAGCTCGTCCCCGTGGAGGTAATCGGAGAAATGGTCCTCAATCGTACCGTCGATGAATATTTCCCTGAGACTGAGCAAGTTGCGTTCTGTACTACGCACGTCGTCCCCGGCATCGGTTTCAGCGACGATCCCCTCCTTCAAGGTCGCAATTTCTCTTACTTCGACACGCAGCTTTCTCGCCTTGGCATCAACTGGCAGCAGCTTCCCATTAATCGTCCGGTGTGCCCCGTCTTGAACCATCACCGGGATGGCGCTATGCAACACAAGATCACCAAGGGGGTGAACTACTGGCCGAACCGGCATTCTACGGCCCCACCTGTTCACCCAAGTGATGGTGGCTATGCTGAGTGAGTCATTCGATGGGTTCCGCATCTGCCTTGGGGCTGAACACAAGTACAGGTATCCGCAGAAAGTACAGGGTATCAAGCAGCGGCTGCGCACCGAAAAATTCCAAGAGCACTTCGATCAGGCTCAACTCTTCTACAATTCCCTGACTGACTACGAGAAGGCGCATCTCGCTGCCGCCCTGTCCTTCGAGCTCGACCATTGCGACGATCCGGTCGTATACGAGACTTACACCAAGGTCTTAAACAATATCGATTTCAACCTCGCAAAGCAAGTGGCAGTCAATGTCGGTGGAGTCATTCCAGACAAAACCGCTCGTGAAAACCGTGGTCAGACGTCTGCGAAGCTGTCCCAGCTCAGCTTTGCGCCAAAGCAGCCTACGATCAAGTCCCGTCGGATCGCCATACTCGTCGCAGATGGCTTCAATCTTGGAGAGGTACAGGCGTTGCGAGCGGCTTTGAAAGCGGGTATGGCGAACACATTCGTCATTGGCCCTCGTCGCGGACCAGTGTATCCCGACGGCGAAGAAGTTGGGTCAGACAAGGGCTACAGTTCCGACCATCACTTCGAAGGTCAACGGAGCACGATGTTTGACGCTATTCTCATCCCTGGAGGCGCGAAGCACGCACAGGCCCTTGCGGACAACGGGCGTACCATCCATTGGATTCGGGAGGCATTCGGCCACTGCAAGGCGATCGGCGCTCTGGGAGAAGGTATGACTTACCTTTACTGATATCTCAGTCACCCTAAGCCATCTTTACAGGTGTCGCGTTCCTGCGTGAGGCTGTCCAGCTGCCGGTGCAGTTCGCCACGGACCTCAACAGCAACAACGTCACCAACTCCTATGGTGTTGTCTCTGCCGGAAAGTACGACGCAGGTGCGGCAGCGGCAGATGTTCTCACCGTCAGGCAAGACGAGAAGGGTTTCATTTCCAACTTTGCGTACGAAGTCAGCAAGCACCGCTGCTACGAACGCGAGACGGATGGATTGGTATCCAAGGTCGCTTACTGAGGTGCAAGAAGGTAATTATGCGAATCGGAAGGAAATTGTTTCGTACACGTACTGTAACATCACAATGTTTTCATAATTGCATAAGTTTGCCAAGCAAGAAGGGCAAGAATATGAGGTCTCAAAGATGCAACAGTAAAACACTAGCCCACCGCGAGGGTCGAACTCGCAGCCTTCAGATTACCCGTCTAGTAAGAGTCTGACGCTCTATCCGATTGAGCTAGGCGGGCAACGTCACTGGCTTACCATATCAACGTCGATTTCATTTCTGTTGCAAACACGAAACCACGTATGCACGCAGTGGTGGCAGAACTCCAAATTCTTTCACTGCTATCCCTCTCGTGTTGAGGATGGTATCTGAAGAACAACCAGGTCACGAGATGATTGCACAGGAGGAGCAATTTTTGCGTAAAGTACATCCGACACCGGAAGAAGTGCCTGGATGCATGAAACTGTTCGACGACTTCCTCCTGTGCAATGGTGAGCTTTCCACGTCATTGCTCGGCTGTAGGGGTGGATAGTACTGACTACATTTCAGTGATGGGCTCACAGATGAAGTCGCTGTATCGATACGGGGAAATGGCGACATGCTCGCCGAAACTCGAGGAATTCAAGTTCTGTATGAGTCTCAAGGGCATGCATCCTGAAGAGAAGCGTGACGTATGGATTCGCAGGCGCGCAGAGTGGTGGGCGCGCCGGCGGATGCATAAGAGCAGCGAAGACGTGTGGGATATCAGAACGTATGTTATAATCTCCCAAGTCGATTTCGCAGGCTGCCAACTCAGATGCATGCAGTGAACCCTTAGAGAACTTCCCACCTCGCAAGTTGGATCCCGCAATCCAGACACCTCGTACCATCGAATGAGTTCAACATGGGCCCGGGGGCCGTCGGTAAATCCGGTTCATCGGAGGTCGTAGTGGTCCCGCTTTGTGATGGGAAGCTTTTGGAGATGGAGATAAACCCGCTCTCGCAATATATCACAGCAGGGGACGAGCACACCGCTCTAGATCTCGATACAATAGTACATTACGCATGGCACTAGTACAGCTACAGCTACACCGGATATTACAGCTCGATGACAAGACAGCAGACCGAAAACAGAACCGTTGACAACCAAACATACGAACAACAAAAGGAGCCACTATACGCCGACACTGAGAGGATCTCGGATCAGTCGGGTAACGTGTGCTGGGCTGTGCAAGAATACTCACCGATGTACAACTTTTTTCTGTGGGTTGTCAAATCCTTCTGTTAGTTATTTGCTATTAGGAAAGCATATGACATACCTGTCCTGAGAAGCGGATGATCTCCCTCTTTTCTAGGACGAATAACGTGCGTTCCAGCGCGTGGCTAGAGTATTGTTGCTGGGTCACAAACTCGCGGACCAAGCTCTGATAGCTAGTGCTCCAGCCGATTGGCAGCCTCCGCCTGATCTCCTTTTCGATCTTGTTCATCTCCTCGTTAAGTGCACCTCGGGATAGCCCGTCGGCGGACCCTGCAGAGACAGCGTCCATGGTGGAGAACTTGAACAGCCGAATAGCTTCCTCGACGTGATGGTTTTGGACGACGGACGAAAGCGTGAGCTTCGCAAGGGACTCTGAGATACGTATGATGGCTTCGAGTTGACTACCGGATACCATGTTGTCAGCTGAACGAGGGGCACAAGAGATATGTCAGGTTACGCACCGGATAGTGATGGGGATAGAGCTTCGTTCGTCGTTATCTTGCTCAAGTTGCTTCACTTGTTTCCGAAGTGAGACGAAGTGGCTGCTCAGCATCTCTTGAGCCTCTGCTGACAACCGTGGTGCGCATTTCCTGCACTGTTGATGAGAAGAATGGCTAGGGAACGACGATCAAGAATCACCCACGCTTTGCAGTAGGCGATGAACCTCTTCATCTTATCAATGTCGATCTCGCCGACGACGTCGCCGTCCACACCGCCATCCGGGTTCGCGCGGTTCATGTGAATGCTCATGACGTGTTTAGCAATCATCTACATAACACCCGTTGTTAGAAGTGATCAGAACTAATTATGAGAACACGTCGTTGAGTTACATACGCGGTCCCGTTGCTCGTTGTGCTCATCCTTTACGATGAAGATCATATCGAAACGAGACAAGATCGTTGTTTGGAAGTCGATGTTCTACGCTCTCGTAGTGAGTATTGACTGCCGATAGTGACCGATGGAGAACGATACGCACCTCTCCCGGACTCCTCCCCTCATCGTAACGCCCCCAGACCGGGTTGGCGGCTGCAAGCACACTGGTTCGTGAATTGAGTACAGTGGTGATACCAGCCTTGGCGATGGAGATTGTTTGCTGCTCCATTGCTTCGTGGATCGCAACTCTATCCTCGTCTCGCATCTTGTCGAACTCATCGATACATACAACACCAGTATCTGCAAGAACCATCGCTCCCCCTTCGAGGTAAAACTCGCGCTGATAAGCGCAGTGTCAGTTGTTACAAGATCATTACCATGTGCCGGGAGTGACCACCTACAGAGACGGAGTCGCGTTGGACCGATGCTGTCAAACCGGCAGCACTGGATCCCTTGCCCGAGGTGTACACGGCGATCGGTGCAACCTGGCAGCATGTCAATCAACTGCGATGGTCTGGCACTATTCATACTCTACCTTTTCAACAAATTTGAGCAACTGGCTCTTCGCCGTACCTGGATCACCCAGCAACAGTACGTTGATGTCCCCTCGTAGTCGCATCCCATCCGGCAATATCTTCTTCGAGCCGCCCACGAGGAGACATGTGATGGCCTTCTTGATATCTGCAGACGCAAGTATTAAACTACGTATGGTAGGAACTATAAGAAACATACCAAGGCTTCCGTAAATACTAGGGGCGACACTCCTGGCGAAACGCTCGTAAAAACCGTCGCTGCGAGCCATCTCACCAAACTCTTCCTCCTCTTCGGCCGTGAATTGCACACCAAACGGATTCGCGCCTCCCGCGCCACCTGCGGCCGGTGATGAGACCTCGAGGTGGACGAGGCGCAGGTACGGATCTCGCAAGGCCGCGGCACCCTTAGATCGCTAAACGAGACATCAGATACAAGATGCAAGAAGCAAGAAGAAGGGAATTTCACTGACGTTCTTTGCTGACTGGAAGGTTGAGTATATGCCCGTAGCGATCACTCGAGAACCAGGAACAACTTGCCCTGTGAGATACCGATCTGCTGAGAGCAGCATATGTCTCGGAAGTTCTCCAACGGGAACCATGTCTGGTGCCTCTTGAAGCTTGAGGGTCTGGTGGTCGGTGAATGATGACTTGGAATGGATAATGAGGTACGGGTCGAGGGGACAATCTTTCTCCTGATTATCGAGCTTTGGAGCATCACACGTACGAGGAAGACCCCGCTCGGAGCCACCACCCAAGCCACCCAAGCCACTTGGTGGATAGATAATCTTCGTCGATCGACACGCTCGGCATTGAAGGTGTAGTTTGGTCGCGCGGGAGGAAAGCACGGACGCGGAGATAACTATTCCCGGGATGCGGACGAGCTTGTTCATGGTGTTTGCGGTCAGATCACGGAATTGCTGTAGATTCAGTCCAGATCTGACGAGGACCTGCACGTTGGGTATCGCATGTTGTGCAGCTTCCGAATTGCTCGTAAGGGGGAAGAGGATCGCGCGAGCTGCCCTGGCAGCAGCAGATTCAAACTTGCATGTCGCGTGAGTCAGAAGGTTAGATGCCAGTAGTCCACAACTCACCAATGGCAAAACCTCTCCCGGTTTTTCCTGGATGGCCTGTGCCAGCTCGTCGTTATATAATCCAACATGGCGGAGGCCCACCTCGATCTGATGCTGCTTCAAGAGGAGGTTCGCGCGTAAATTGTCTCTACGCATGTCGCCGTGAGTTCTGACATACTTTGACGCGTCCCACTGTAGACAAACCTGTAGATGAAGTCGCTGCCGACGCGATACTGCAGGAGAAATTCGAGGAGGAGCTTCTCAGTCCGGGATGGGAGCTCAAGGGCTGACCCAGTGGATTCCCTGTTGTTCTGTGTCCTGACGGAGTATGTGCGATCTGCGTCGAACCCAGACATGGTGGCGAAATAGAGGAGAGTAAGTCGGAAGAGGAGCGAACGCGAGCCACAAATGAGCCTTAGGGCAGGTTCGTTCGCGTCTGCGGCAGATGCCGGAGGCACGTGTCTTCATTCCTGTTCCACATACGTGGGCGTCTGTGTACGCTCGGTCTGTGGCTGCACTCTGCACTCGACTCTCAACATGGCTTCGATGGACACTGACGATCTTCCTGTTGTCTTGCCGCCCAGTACGACAACATCCGGCCTTTCTCTTGCGCTGTGTGTAATCGGGTAGCTTGTCTCATGCGTTCTCAGGTACTGACGCGCTCCTTCAGCCACCCTTTGCCGATTCTCAATATCTCGGAGCATCTCACCCGTCTCAGATTGCAAACACGGACCCATGTACCATTTGGTATGTATTGTAGCCCCCGTACTACTCATGCTATGCCGATCAAATTTCCTTTTTTAGTTCTTGGTGCGCTCCTTGGAACGCAAAATGGGCGGGATGTTGAGATCGTGAACACTTTCGAGCTTGCGGTTGAGGATGATGGCGTCACGATCGACCAGGGTTTTCTGGTTGCCCGCAAGGAACAGTGTCAGTGCCTCAGATACAGCATCTTGTAATTGATGATTGAAACCCACACACCACAGACAAACAAGTATTTCCTTCCCTCGAATTCATTGGATGGTATACTGTGGCGGAGCGACCAACACCCCGTCACATTGTACTTCACGAACAGGTGTGCCAATGCACATATCTTTGGGGGTATGCGTTGGTATTGAAGGCTACGAAAGTTCACTGTATACAGTTCAACGCCACTTCTTCTGATCATGCAGCCATCAACTGTTTTTGCCAAAGCCGCTGATGCTTCTGGACAATCATTGCCTCTGAAAGCCTACGAACCAACTGTCGAAATTCGTGACCGCAAGTCGCGTTCAGTATTTATTGAAGCGTCGTACTCCGTTGAGACTGGTGAGGCTGAGCGTATCGCGGTAGATTGGGCAGCAAAGGGCGGCGAGGGCGGAACCAGTCGTAAGTCTTGTAGTGTGTGATCATCCGGACATGATATTCAAGGTGCGCAGTGGAATCCCATTTGCAGACGCAGCGTGCCGCCGTCAAAATGCTTCATGACCGTATCATGCTCTTGGTCAAGTATGTAACAGAGGTCCTTACAGGCATGTGTCTTCATTAC